CTCTCGTGGCCATTTCAAAAACCTCTCTCACTCCATCTCTGGTCTTTGCTGAACACTCCATGTACCCAAAAGCACCAATTCTGTTTGCCATATCTCTGCCTTCTTCAGGTTTTACCGGCTCCTGCTTCATTTTGGCTAATTCCCGCCTTGTGTGCTCATCATTCCGAAGATCCTTCTTGTTCCCAACCAGGATGATGGGCACATTGGGACAGAAATGCTTGACTTCTGGAGTCCATTTTTCTGGGATGTTTTCTAAACTATCAGGGCTGTCAATGGAGAAGCACATCAGTATAACATCCGTGTCTGGGTAGGAGAGAGGCCTCAGGCGATCATAATCTTCCTGTCCAGCTGTGTCCCACAAAGCCAACTCTACCTGCTTCCCATCCACTTCAATATCTGCCACATAGTTTTCAAACACCGTGGGCACATAAACCTCTGGGAATTGGTCCTTGCTGAAGACTATGAGCAAGCACTTCTTACCACAAGCTCCATCACCAACAATCACCAGTTTCTTTCTGATGGCAGCCATCACTTACAAAGGTACTGAAAACACACAGCTTCTGTGACAGTGGTTGTACAAAGTACCTGGAACTTCTCAGATGCAAGGCTCAAGGCGACGACTCCGAGTCCGGCCTCTTTGCGCTGAGGACGCCTGTCCGTGAGTCCGCAAGCTCGGAGAAGAAGACCGGCAGCTCCGCGGGAGATGGCGGACTCTCAACCAATCTTCTTATAGAACCCAGAGTCAACATCCCAGGGACGGTACCACCCACAATAGGCTTGTCCCTCCCCCATTGATCACTAATTGAGAAAGTGCCTTACAGCTGGATCTCATGGAGGCATTTCAGCAACTGAGGCTCCTTCTTCTGATGACGCTAGCTTGCATCAATTTGACACACAAAACCAGCAAGATAGCATGGTAGTACCCACCTTTGTTCCCATCAGTTGGGAAGCAAAGACATGCAGATCTCCTTGAGTTCCAGACCAGCTAGGGCTTGACAGGGAGATCATGTCTCAAGAACAGACAAAGAAAATCAAAGGAAAAAAAAAACAAAAACAAAAATAATAAGTGATTGCTTTGGGTATGTGATAATGATAAATTAGGAAGGACTTTTTAAACAGTTAACATTTGGAGCCTCATAGAAAGGAAGAGTGAGATCTGTTGTTGGTGCCTGAGAGGTAGTTGGAAGAAAATACACAGTGAGTCTGGACTTGTGAGCTTGTGACCTGACAAACTTGGTGCTGAATCTTTGAACCTGGGTTGTGAGTAAGGAAATTAAATGTGGCCTTTCCTTTGAGGGCAAACCTTGTCTATATTATGCTAGCCTTGTAACCTCCCAGGCTTCCCATTTGACCTCATCATGTATCTTCACCAAGCGTGTGTTCCACATCACTGGGGCATCCTGTGTAGCCCTGAGGTCCTTTGATATGTTCAGCATCTGTACTGTTGAACAGTATTATTTTATTTCACTCTTAAGTGATTGGTCATTTCTTAAATCCATCGGAAGAAGCATGATTCCCAAGAAGTAGCATAATGAACTGTCAACAGTCACACTGATCCAGAGTGTTCCGAAACCAATTCCCATCATTAATTATTTCTATAACTGTGTTTGGGTTCCTTATTCTCTGAACTTTGGCTGTGAATTATTGTAATGACAAATGGAATTATTTGTGAAACATAAAAAGCTGGGCATGAAATTAATACTTAATATACATGAACTCTCTTTGTTCTATTTCTTTGTATCTAAACATGATAGCATGTTTGTGTTTATGTCTATCTAGATAATCATTCAGTAATTAATACATCTATTAAAATGTTTATTGGCCACCAATTTGATTAGAACAACCATTTTCTAGGATCTGTAATTAGAAAAGATAAAAGTAAAAACACAATCTACCATAACTGTTAGCAGTCACAGTTTTACATATTATTCTCTGTTCAGTTAGTATTTGCGTTACAGGTATATATGTATGTGTGCATATATACAAATAGTTCTCTGTATATATGTTAAGTGTAGTTTTGTCAGCTGTGTATATTAATATTTGTGTGCATGAGTGTGAAAATTATCCTATAAACAATTCAGGCAATGTGCATTTGACTTGTTTATAATTGAAAACAGAATTCTTGCCCTTGTCAAAACAGTGTCTTGCTCTGTAAAGTTTGTAAAGACTTCTTGATTTTTCTAAAACATGAATTCAAAATATTGGAAGCCTAAATCTTAGATTTACTTATTTCTACAGTTTTTACCCTGACATTCCAGACTGATTACAGGATCATGTGTGTGCACACAAACACATGCACATGTACATACATGTACACACATGACTTCTTTCATTCTAAATTTTTTTTTTATTTACTGCAATTCTACTTAAGGCCTCCCACTTTCCAGTTGTAGGGCTGCAGTTTTGTTGTGAACATCCTTTTGTGTGTCTTTCCATCTGAGCGTATCTAGACTGGACTGAGTTTTCTCTCCGGGAGATGGGTGGAAATAAGTTTTTACAAACCATAGCTGCTTTCCCTCAGCACTGTTACAACATGGCTAATGGGCTGTAATGGCATCTTTATTATCCTATAAGTTCAGTTCCCTTGTGTGTCGGGAGGTCTTTAAAATGCACCTTTGAGTATTGTTTTGTGTGCTTTGTGTCCCTTGAATAAATAATATACCCCTGTTGACTTTTTAATTTTGGAATTTGGTAACAGTAATGAAAAAGAAATCCCTGACCATTTTATATGCTTTGACACTTCATTTCACATAGTGCCTTTCCCTTCTCAGGGATGCGTGTAGCAGACATTTGTCTCTTTTGGATGGATATTATTGCACTGTTCTTAAAAATAATAATTCCACCAGTGCTCTAGTGATCTTTAATTGTTCCCCACGACTGTCACAAGTCAGAATGGAACCGACTGAAACACTTGCCCTCACATTCTCCTCTATTACCGCAAGCATAGGAAAGGAAGGGCCATGCTGAGCAGCAAAGTGTCTCATGGACTAGGTCTTAGAGACTAGTGGCTGAGTCTGTGGGGCTGAGCTGTCCTTGTTAAAGTCCTCCTAGATGTCCTTCTGCCTGAAGCATCGGCCACTTTGAAAAATGTCTCTATCTCATTCTCTTCTGATGTGTTCGATGGACTTCATGATGATTTCATGAAGACCCAGGAGAGTCATGGGCCCTTTTCTTTGATTTTGGCCCAATAGAGCTCTCCACTTGGGAACTGACTACCAGTAAATCTATTTTGCTGAGGAAAAGGTCAGATGAAGCTATATGTAAGTGACACATATTATTTATTAACGGTTTGGGGGACCCAGGGCTTTACAGGTGTATTTCATATTCCTTCACAACAGTTCCACTAGATTAATATTAGTTCCATTATTTTACCCACTTTATAAATGAGGGAACATGTTAATGGAGATTAAATAATTTACACACAATCTCAGTGCCTGTAAATGGTGACGCTGTAGTGGAAGGCTTGGTACATAATGCATGAGGCTTAAAAACTGCCTGCCATCATGCCATGGTCATGGGATTTCGGTCATGCCATGGTCGTGGGATTTCGGCCTGTCTTTCTTTATGACGTCCAGTGTTTCAGCTGGGACTTTGAACCCTGGAACTTTGAGAATTTCAGTTTATGTTCAAAACACTGCGTCAGACTCAGTCACTTCAACAACTTCCATAGAGGCCTTTTATCGAATTTCATATCAATACCATTTTATCATAGTTTGGAATTTACACATGACTACGAATGGAGTTCATTTACACTGCTAACTTAAGAGATTCTTGATGCTTGAGGAGGGGAAGGTGCATGGCAGGCTAGGATATTTCGGCTGATCTTCTAGGTCCTGTCTTTATCCATGGTGGTGAGCTCTTGTCATAGTGACTACTATCAAGAAGGTTAACAGCATTAAAGGCCAGAAACAGAGGGTCAGGCAGTATGTGTACCAAATTTGTACATTACCACCAGGAAGGTAAAATGAGGCTTTGCTCTGCCTGATGACTGTCATGCATACCCTACAGACTGCTGGACATTGATGTTTGTTTTCCTTGTAAAGGCAATTGCTGCTATTGGCTATCTAGTTGTACATGATAAAATGTGGTTTGCTAAAGCCAGGAGAGGCTGTGTGAGATGATTTCCATGGGGCTCTAGCACCCAGCTGGAGATGAGTTATATTGTTCTCTTTGATCCCTTTCATTGTTTTCCAAGCTTGTGTAGACTCTTTCTGGGATGCTGTTGAGGGCTCTCAGTTAGACTTTAGGGCCAACAGGAGTAAAAGTGTTCTTTGCCCCCACCCATCACTGACTTTGATGGGTGCAGAATTTAAGTGGAACTGAGGTTCTGATTTTGCTGAAATAACTTAGCTTATAGGGCACTAGCAGTTTCTCTTCATTCCCATTCATAATTTGGAGCATTGAGGCTGAATACCTTTGTGTGCATAGGGACTGACTATATTTTCGGAGGAATGTCTAAAAACACAAGACAACAAAATAGTCTGATAGCTTCTTTGATGCAGTATGAGAATTTTCCCTCTAATGTAGAGAGATTGTTTATGTTGGCTGTTATTCTTTTTATCCAGTCCTGTAACATCGGACTGAGCATGGAGGTTATTAACATTTTTCTTCTCTAGGATCAAAGAAGTCTAAAACTCCTGAGAAAAACAAAATGTATGTTGACACTGAATTTTATATCTATCCTGAACTCCTAGCCCCTCCCTGCTTTATAAGATAGAATGATGTTTAAAGGTGTGGGGGGGGGCGGTGGGTGTGGGTGTGGGTGTGTATGTGTATAAGCACATACACAAGCACATGGGATATTTTAGATCTAAACACCAGGTTGTCCCTGTCTCCATAAGGGTTGTAGATGAACAGTATCCTCTTGTCTCATCTTTCTATTCTGTTTGCAATTACTCAGCAGAATATGGACTGGCAAGATTACAACTCAGATGAGAGGTGGGTTCAAAGCCCTAGACTTCACCCTTCCAGCTATTCCCACAACTTCTTGACCATGATGTTGAACAAGATGATACTCCATTTGAGTGAAGTAATGCTCAAAATGAATGTCTCAAAGTTAGGGCAGAAGTGTACATAATGTTGTTACTATTTAGCTGGAATCTAGTCACATTGAATTGAATATCCATTGTTTTCATTACAAGGATTCGGGGATTCATTTTCATGTTTTCAGTAATAAATAACATTAAGAGAAATGTGAGATTGGTTTTCTATTATTAAAATATTTATGATATTTGAAAACATAGTAATATAATGTAGGAATTGTGTTGTTTAATTTTATACTATTAACTATAAACCCCAATTCTGTATATGCTGATATACAATTTGACTTGGATTGACTTTGATAAATTCTCTCTCTTAATATAGCTGCTGCCTGTGTGTCTTAATTTTAGGCCCATGGTTATTTTCCTAGCTGGATTTTCATTAATCATTTAGTACCTTACTGCTTATTTTTGTGTTTTCAGATTAAAGATATATTTGTAGACTTTTAATGAATTCTAATTACATTTTAAAGTAGACCCCTCAGGGACAATTTGTGAGGCATTCCATTTGATTTACTATAGGCTATAAACAAGTCAAAGCAAGCCATTGTTCAAATTTAAAAAAAAAAAAAAACAGAACTAATCATGTTTCTGTATCTCCAAGGTTTATCCATCACTTTCGCTTTGAGAAAGGCCTTCTTCTTGGTTTTCCTGGGCTCCAGACAGAACTCTGCTGAAAACCATGTGTGAGGT